AGAGGATGATGAGGGCAACAAATGTATAGGTGTGCTTTACACGATGTATGTATGGATGGATGGATTGCGATTAATTGTATGAGCCCCAATAAAATGATTTTTAAACCCCAAAAAACAAATACACTTCCACCTCCTTTAGCCGACAGGGAAAGCGTTCTCGGGCCCAGCCTTCAGAACTAGGGAACAAGGGAGTGCCCTTTCCCCGTCCCTCCACCCGCCCTTGATCCCCGCGGCAGCCGCGGTGGATTCTGGGAGCCCGAAGGCACCTGCCCTTGGGTGGTGACCTTGGCCGGCGGGACGAGGCTGAGCGCGCGTGCGCACTTCGCGCCCGCCGCGAACATGGCTGCGCTGCCGGCTGGGCGGGCGCTGCTGCGGCTGCGGCTCCTCTCGGCGGCGCTGAAAACCCGGGTTCCTGCACCCCGAGCCGCGCCTGCGGCTGCTTATGGGTAATGGCTGCTGCCTCCCTGCTTCGCGAACTCCTCGGTGAACTTTGAGGCGGGTGAGCAGGGTCCCACGCACAGGCTCGGGGCGACGAGAGCGACTGACTAGGGTTGTCCTTATGACCCAAACCGGTGCCAAGGAGCTGGGCGACCCGGACGTAGTGTAGATGTCTGCTTTGGAACCTTAAGAAGTGTCTGTGGGTCGTTGGCTCCAACTCTTCCTTGTGCCACGCAACAACTCATGGCATTGAACCCCAGATCGCTTATCATTGCTCCACGTAGTCTCACCACACCTTTCTGCCCTCCCCTCCCTGGAAGGCCACTGCTGTGAGTCCGTGCCCCATCTTTCTTCCTAGTGCCCACTGATGGTTCAACCTCCCAGCTTTTCAGTTAGCAGTGGGGTGCTCTCACTACACACCATCAATCAGGAATCCTTGTATTTTTGTCAAAATTACCCTGAATATCTCAGGACCCCTGGTGCTGTAGTAGTTAACATTGGGCGCTGATCCTCAGGCTCAGCACCAGTCTCGGGAATTCACGGGGTCTGCTCTCCCCGCGCCTCCAGGGTCACTAGGAGTCAGCATTCACTCAATGGCTGTGAGCTATCTTAGTGTTTATTTTTTAATTTAATAGTTTATAATACTGACAAAGAGCTCAAACTTTAATGTGCAGAATCACCTTGAACCTGTGTGTTCAGGCTCCAGGACTTAAATCCCAGAGGTTCTGATACTGGAAATACCAATCCTGGCTTTTTTTATTTTATGACTCCTTCTCCCCCTCTTTCAGGTTAAAAACTAAGTTGGATTCACCCTCTTAAAAACAGGCCAGCGCCATGGTGGCGGTAGTGGGTTTACACATTGGACTGTAAATTGCAAAGTTGGTGGTTCAAACCCACCAGGCACTCCCTGGGAGAAAGAGGAGGCATACTACTCCCATGAAGATTTATAGCCTTGGAAACCCTCAGGGGGCAGGTTCTACCCTGTCCAGTAGGGTACTAGGAGTCAGAATTGACTTTATGGTAGTAAGTTGGTGCCCTCTACAAAAGGACCCACAAAAAAACAACCATACCATATCAGCCTCCTGGGGAGGGAGCTGCTGGAGTTAGGCAATATGAGCAATCATTCAGTCATTTCTTAGTCACATCATGTAACCCCAGTAAAAAAACGTTGAGCACTGACGCTTGGGTGAGCTTCCCTGTACAGCAGCACATCCTATGTAGGAAGGCAATACAGAAGTTCCATGCTTGAGGCCCTCCCTTTGTATCCTTTATGCTATCAAAATGTGAAAGAAGCACTTTCCTAGGAGTTTTCGTGAATTTCCCAATCTGAGGGAGTCGTGAAGGGTGGTGCCCAGTTAAGTCAGAAGTGTCGATGTTCTGAGCTTGTGTCTAATGTCCTAAGGGGACTATGAGAGCCCTCCAATTGTAGTTTACTGGGCAGAAGGGCCCGAACCCCATAGTCCCTGAACTGGCAGCCCATGCCTGAGGGGAGGGCAGCTCGGCAAGGAGTGTGCCCTCCAGAGCCCTGGTCAGCGGTCAAGACCCTTGTGGAGGCACACACCGCAGAGTATCCACTAGATTAAGGACATATAGCAAGATGTGCAGGCAGCGGGGAGTGGTGGCACCGGCTCCTCCCCTGATATAAGGTGACTATAAAATTCATGGAATTGAAGGACATATCATTTTCCTAGGAACTTTCTGAAGCCAATGTCAACTCTTAGCAGCATTATAGAACACACTAGAACATTAGCATTTCTAAGATTCCTCTTTATGGGAGCAGACAGCTTCAGCTTCCTTTGGTCCAGCCGAGGTGGGTTCGAGTTTGCCGTTAATCTTACAGTACGCAACCCAACAGTCATCCACAATTCCACCAGGACTCCTTATGTAAGTACCAATCACTTCTATTTTTATCTAGTCAACGCACAGTATTAATAACTGTGTGGCTCCAGCCATGTGCTTCAGGCTCCTCCTTCCTCATTCATCACTGATTCATCTCTCAAGGTTTTACAGACCAAGTGCTCTATGCTTGTCTTCTTGCCAGCTAGAATGAGCAAAACAGATGCACTAATAAACAAGTATTTCCTGAAGGATATCTGTCTTAGCAGGCTGTATTTATTCATTCTCACCTTGATCTTGAAGTGTTCTCAACAACAAACTCAGAAGAATAGAAGGTTACGAGTGAGAAAGTTGGCAAGGCCATGGAGCTACCACTGATCAATGGCTTATACCTCCTCAGTATTCCTGTAGACAACCAGCTAATAGTTACGTCAGGCTTTACCACCACCCAGCACTGTCGTTGCCGCTGTTTAAGACTTAATACGTATGTATGGAACACATTTGTTTCATGTTTGAAATTGGCTAATGAAATTGAAACCAAAAGAGGACACGGGACCTCAGTGTTTCAAATGTGTTGTTTCAATGATCATATTTAACAAAGGGCAGAGGTGGGGGTAGGGTACATGTAGAAGAAAAAACAAGTGATTGATTCAAACTCATCAGTAACCAACTTGAAGCAGAAGAGCACTTGTTATGGTACCTGCCCTGGCCTGCCACAATGTCCCCTGTACATGTCACACAGCCATGGGTGACTGTTGGAGCCTGACATGAGGTATTTAAAAAAAAATCATTTTATTAGGGGCTCATACAACTCTTAGCATAATCCATATGTACATCAATTGTGTAAAGCACATTTATGCATTCGTTGCCCTCATCATTCTCAAAACATTTGCTCTCCACTTAAGACCCTGGCATCAGCTCCTCATTTTTTCTCCCTCCCTCATGAACCCTTGATAATTTATAAATTATTATTTTGTCATATCTTTTACTGTCCAACGTCTCCCTTCACCCACTTTTCTGTTGTCCATCCCCCAGGGAGGAGGTCACATGTAGATCCTTGTCATCCGTTCCCCCTTTCCAACCCACTCTCCCTCTACCCTCCCGGTATTGCCACTCATACCACTGATCCTGAAGGGATCATCTGCCCTGGATTCCCTGTGTTTCCAGTTCCTATCTGTACCAATGTACATCCTCTGGTCCAGCCAGATTTGTAAGGTAGAATTGGGATCATGATAGTGTGAGGGGAGGAAGCATTTAGGAACTAGAGGAAAGTTGTATGTCTCATCGTTGCTGCACTGCACTCTGACTGGCTCGTCTCCTCCCCACCACCCTCCCGTAAGGGGATGGCATGAGGTATTGTATGTACTTTCTGACACACACAGTCCTGGAGTTTTAGGAAAAACAACTAAGGAAAGGTCAGTCAGTGTGGCTTATACAACTGATAGGAGACTGCCTGGGCTGTGTCCTGTGCTAAGTGTGGCCTGGTCAGCTGCTGGTTCATAGGAGATTCTGGCCAAGCAGGATCGGTGGCAGGGGGAGGGTCCTTCAGGTGGGGGCTTAGGGGCATAGATATTTAATCGGTAGAAATAAAAGTTCAAGAGCCAGTAAGGCCAGACCAGTATATGTTGTCAGTCCTGAGTAGAGCCTGCCTGCAGCTCTTCAGAAAGCAAACCTTCCTGAAAAAAGTGTTGGGGTCATGGCCTTCTTGTTGATTGGTAGGATCAGCTTTGTCCTTGGGATCACTGTAAAAATGGCTGGTAGCTCCTTTCGACCTGTACATGTCAGAATGATGGCTTCAGGGTCTGCTTCTGACCCATGCTGTCTGGGATTCTCATTTGTCGGACACTGCCAACCTTCAGCTCAGCGACACATATCCGTGGGTCTGTGTGGGGTGGGGTCAGTAGGCATGTTGGTGCTTATATAAGTAAGTGCTGGGCTGGGGGGCTACAGAGCAGTCAAGCATGAAGACACAGTCCAGATGGGGTTTTCCATCCAGGAAAAAAAACAACCCATATCACTTTGTAGTTTGTAGAGCTGAGGTTCAGAGTCAATCTGACCCAAGAGGCTTCAGAAGGGTGCTCAGGCGGCCTCACGTAGATAATGCCAGCTTCATGATACTACTTTGTACTGCTAAGTAATTTGAATTGGGGGTGGGGTTTTTTCTTCCAGCACCTCAGTGGTGTCTGCAAAAGTGGATGTGAATGGTGTTCGCCTGCACTATCAGCGGACTGGAGAAGGAGACCACGCAGTCCTGCTGCTTCCTGGGATGTTAGGTCAGTACACCATCTGATAGAATGCACACAGTGCCAGGTGCCAAAGGCTGGTAGTTGATCCTAGTGGACATGCTTTAAGTAACTTGTAGATCCAGTGACAGCGCTGGCTTGGGTCTCCATGTGGCTCCTCCAGCTCCAAGGCTCTGGTTCCATGAGCGTAGCTACATGTGTCTTGTCATCAGGGATGTCGAAGCAGAACATATCTGGGTCCCACCTCCAGCTAGCTATTTATATCCGGAGTGCCTCCAAATTAGGTCATCAAGCAGCGACCTGATTGACAGGCTACCCTCCACTCCTTCACCCTTAATAGTCTCAAATTGGCACCAAATTATGTAACTACCACAACATGCTACAATCAGACTTAAGTGATGTAGCAAAATAGGCAACTGCCCATTGAATGTATTCTCCCCCTCATAATACCTAATTTTTCTCATGCAATGCCTACTGTTGGGACTGACAGGGTCCAGGGGTGAGAGGTGTGGGAAAGGGTATGGATAAGGTGACCAGACGTCCCGCTTTTGGCGGGACAGTCCCGATTTTTAACAATTTTCCCCACGTCCCGCGGTGTTTTGAAAAAGTCCCGATTTTTGGAAAGAATGCACGACAAGCTAGGGTATACGGTTTTCAGCTGCCATGTGGCTATTTTGCCAGGATATGAGTTTTATCAATGGTGTCCCGCTTAATTATGGAGAGTATTCTGTTATTCCCACTAAAAGGTAGAAAACATTAGAATATATTAAAGTTTTCCTACTTTAAAAGCTGATGCTGGGTCAGGATAATGTTAAAGATACAGTGACCTTTTCCCTCTTGAGCCCTGATATCATTTTTCCCTATAACACATAATTGTGGTTCTATTTTTTTAAAATCAATTTATTGGGGCTCATACAATTCATCACAATACATGGATCAATTGAGTTTATGGTGGTTTTATAGATCCCTGCTGGTTCTGTGAGTTAGGCTTTGGGCTGCAAATCTCAAGGTCAGTGGGTCAAAGCCACCAGCTCTTTAATGGGAGAAAGATGAAATTCTGCTTGAAAATTTAGTCTCAGAACCTCCATAGGGTTGCTGTCAGTCAAAATTGACTTGATGCCTGTGTGTGTGTGTGTATGGTTTTTTGTTCAGTTTAATTGAGCCCAATGTCTACATATTTCCTTACAATTTACTTCTATCTCCTACAAATAAAGTGCTAAACATTTCTAATGAATTGATGACTTAGCTGAGCTATCCTGGCTCAGTCTTTGCCTAGGTAGTTGAGATCGTTAGTTTATTTTGCCAACCTGGCCGATAAACACAGGTGGGGTTAATTGAAGGGCTGAGGGATCAATGGCTCGTGAGCCTCACCTTTCGAGTTCTCAGGTCTCTTGCTTTATGATGGTCGGACCAGGGTGCAGCTGCCTTAGCCAGTTCCCTGTTTTAGCTGGCAAGGCTCACTTCCTGCAAGACATTCCTGAGGAGAAGCCCCATGGACCAGCCCTGGGTGCTGGATCAGCCGTGTGGAGACCCCTGCCAGCGCTGAGATGCTTCCACATTCACTGACTCAGCTTTCCTCCTGCAGTCGGCATCATTGCGTCTGCTTTGTGAGATGGAGGACTTTGTGGATTAGTGTTGGACATAGGGATTAATGTTGGACTTGTGGGCTTGGGCAGCACTGGGTTGGGATGTTTTGATGCGCACTTAAGCATTATATAAAACTCTCTCTTATACATGAGTTTCTGTGGATTTGTTTCTTTGAAGTACCCAGACTAACACAGTAGTATTTAGTATCTTTTAAAAAGTTTTAATTTCTTAAGGTGTTACAACATCCTGGAGCAGAACATTCACTCCAGTGGCTGAGGTAGAGCTAAAGTGATCTGTTAAAAAAAACCCCAAAAACCTAAAAATCTTACCAGCTTAAATTACCGTTGTTTTAGTCTTCGAATCACATTCCTTATCATCAAGTGAATGCTGACTCAGCAACCATATAAGACAGGTAGAACTGTCCCTGTGGGTTTCCAAGACTAACTCTTTACAGAAGTGGAGCCTCGCCTTTCCTGTGGAGCTGGTGGATATGAACAGCTGATTTTGTGGTTACCATCCCAACTCATAACCACTACACCACCAAGCTTCCTCATAAACCAAATGTCAAAAAAGCATATGTTTCTAGAATTAATTTTTATGTATGTAAAACATCAACATGATTCCAAATTCAAAAAACCTAACAGCTTCTTCCTCCAAGGCCTTGCCTGCAGCACCCAGGTACCAGCAGATACCAGTGCTGGTTCTGATTTCCCAGGTGGCAGCTGGGTATCTAGCAACATAGGATCCCTAAGCATGCCGTTAGCTTTTAGTATGCCTGGCACTGGGATTCATGCTACTCGAATGTAGACATGTGTGCTGGAGAGCATGGACATTGCTATTTCGGAAACTGGGTTTTCACTAGACAGTTCCTTTTCCCACCTCTCACTGCTGCTCCTGCTCCAGCGTATTCCAGACTCACTGGGCAGGATAAGAGCTGCTGTCACAGCCCCGGTGCCTCAGAGTCACAGGAGGAATGATGTGGGACAGAGCAGTCCTTGTAGGTTTGAAATATACTTGTGTGATTGGGCTTGGGTTTTCTGAATCAGTTATCTGATTGTGAGAAACATACTATCTGTCAGGAAGAATAATGAACCTTGATCATGTGAAATGATCCCGAACCATCTTGAAAGATAGTTCCTCATATAGCTAGTTGGTTAAGAAAGAATGTGGCCTGAAGAATGAGTCCTCAGATAGCAGGCATATTTGGCCCTAAATCCTTGTTCTCTGAGTTCTAGCTGTCCCACCCAGTGTGGTGGGTGTAAGTGCTGTTACACCCAACAGTACACAGTGGCCAGGGACACCTATCATAGGCAAACGATCATCGTGCTACTACAGGATTCTGTTTTGTACTGTTCTCATGAAATAGACTCATTTGAAGTTTTCCCTCCCCAAATAATGTTTTAGTGTTGTTTTTTGGGTTGCTAATTATAGCTAGAAAAGGAAGCCTACGACTTTTCATATGGACCTAATAAAAAATATCTGGAATTTGAAAATTCTACTTTGTACAACTTGATCAAATCTCATCTGTGCGTAAATATTAATTACTGAACGATCTCTTATTGGTAACATAGAGGTAACCTAGAAGTATATCATATCTGTAAGTCGATTCCTAGTCAGTTTTAAGTTCATTCGGAAAAACAAAACACCAGGAGGATCCTCCGCCCTTCTCAAAATGGCCACTGGGTGGAGACAGGAGCAAAGTCACATTCTGAACTTAAAACACTGGGCGGGCACACACGTGTGCAACAGAAGTTCACTGAGATTCTTCTCAGTTAATGTAATAAATTACTTTTAGGCTCTGGAGTCTGTAATAAATTATTTTACCTACCCTGAAAAAAAAAAGGAATTTGTTTTAAGAATGTTACTATTTATGTGCTTACTGTATTGCTCCTGAAACGACACAAGCATATTCATGGGCCTTTTTTTTTAGGAAGTGGGAGTACCGATTTTGAACCCCAGCTTAAAAACCTGAGCAAGAAGCACTTCATGGTGGTCGCCTGGGACCCTCGAGGATATGGATGGTCCAGACCTCCAAATAGAGATTTCCCAGTGGACTTTTTTGAAAGGGATGCCAAAGACGCTGTTGATCTGATGAAGGTAGGTCTCAGGAAGGAAGGCTGCCTGGGCCTATCTTAATTTTTTTCTTCATTTTTACTGTTTTCAGTTTCTACAAAGATAATACTTTGTATCTACAAAGATAAAAATGTTTATCTTTGTTCTACAAAGATAAAAAATGCAAATTAAGAAAAGTATTCAAATGCCCCATAGCCTTCCAGTTTTCATGACCAAGACTTTAAAGAATCTCAGCTTTACAGGCCAGTCTCCTGCTAACAAGATGCTTTTTTTCTTTTTTTTAAAAACAGTTTTCTTGACGTATAATTCACATGCCATACTATTCAGTTGTTTAAATGTATTTTAAAGTGTTGTTCCATTATTATCACAATTTTAAAACATTTTCATGGGTCTTTTATCCATTAGTATTAGCTACCATTTTGTCCCAACCTCCCTTGCTATAACCCTAAGAAACTATTAATCTAGTTACTTTCACTATAGATTTACCTATCCTGGATTTCACATAACAAAAATCATACAAAGCAACAATAAAATAAAACATAACCCAAATAAAATTCTCAGTTTAAAAGAAAACAGAACAAAAAAAAACTAGAATGAGTTAAAAATGGCCAAAACCCAAACCAAATTCTATCCTGATTTATAGCAACCCTACAGGACAGGGTAGACCTCCCCTTGTGGGTTTCCAAGACTGTAATTCTTTACAGGAGTAGAAAGCCTCATCTTTCCCCCTTGGAGCACCTGGTGGTTTTGAACTGCTGACCTTGTAGTTAGTAGCACAACACGTACCCCACTACAGCACGAGGGCCCCTCCTAAACTTAATAGTCATAATTTATTAAGGAATGAATAGAGTGTTTACATAATGAATGCTCCTAGCATGTGGACCACTAGGTAATCAAAGCAGGAGAGTGAAATTCTGCTCTGAGGAAAGAAACATCTAAAGGTAATGACTGTATCTGTTAGCTTTGCTATGGAACATTCTTATACTCTTGAGCTTTTGAGCTGTTTCCAGCTTCTTACTATTGTGAACAGTGCTGCCATGTTCTCGTCTGTCCATGTTCTATCTCTTACGTTAGGATATTTACGTAGGAGAGCTATTGCTATATCATATGGGATTGCTAGTGTTAGTCCTTTCAGGTAGTGCCGTAGTATCACTTTCTACAATCGCTGTACATGTGTCCAGGCCCACCAGCAAGTATGAGCGTTCCAGTTGCTCTGTGCATGCTGCATCATCTGTTCTTTGATTTTCTTTTCATTGAACTGTCATCGTCAGTTTTCCTTTGCATCTTCTGGCTGCCTAATGGTTATGACCATGTTCGTGTTTATTAGCCATTTGAATGTCCTTTTTAATGAGCTGATATTTTTTAAATTAATCCCTCCATCTGTTGAAGGTATATAAACACCATTTAAAAATTCTACTCTGGTAATTCCCAGGCCTCGTCTGAGTTATCTTTCAGGTCTGGATGTTGTTGAGTTGCTTGTGCTGGCTTTTCCTGATTGTGTGTGTGTGTGTGTGTGCGTGCGTTATTAATGGCGATGAACTGCTGTTTCTGCATCATTGTGGTGCAGCTGTTAGTCTTGGATGGGATGTTGGATCACGTGGCAGTAGTTGACTCTCTTGTGTAGTGCAGCAGAAGATCAATAGGTACCAGATAATAAAAAGTGAGAGATAGGAACAAAAGAAGAGTTAGAAGAAAGGGAAAAGGAGGAGTAAAACAAAAATGGGCCTTAAAAAGAGGCCCCCCAATTTATTGATAATGAAAATGAATTTGAAGAAGAGTAATTAAAAAAAAAATGTGTTTCCAGAAGAAAAGGATGGAAGGAAGAAAAAGATAGTGGGTGGGGAAAAGAAAAAGATAAACAAAAAATACAAGCGTGAGCACACATTTATATATCTGTTTTTAGGAAGAAAGATGAATCAAAGAGAAGAAAAAGAAAAGAGCTCCGACATCTCTGTTTGTTTGAGGACGTCCCTCAGCCCAGGAACCTTGCTGCTGTTGTGGTTTGAGAGAGCCAGGGCACGTTGGTGCG